AATTAATTCAGATCTGAGAAACAAATTTAATTCCCATTGATAAAAGTTCCTCTATGATTAGTTGATCAAATTTCCATTCAATCACTACTTTAACAGCAGAATCAATCACTCAATCTAATCCAAAACTCAAAGTTCAGATCCAAAATCAATTCAACATTTCTATTTCAGATTCACAGTTGCTAACCACAAAGAGTTTAAGCAAACATTACAAAAAGAGAAGAGAAGAGAAGAGAAGAGAAGAAGAGAATGAACAAAGAAGAAACATCTTCAAGCCAATCTCCCATCTGATCCCTCAAGAAATGAAGCTTGGTGTTCGCCTTCAATCTCCCTCTCTGACTCTCTCAACAACAAAAACAAATGGAAAAATTAAAAAATAAACCAAAAATTCCCCTCTTTAAAATTCCTGAGCTAACTGTCTTTTATAGAATTCCTGCTCTGCTGGCGTGATCACTTTTGCCAGCAATAGTAATCATGCAGAGGCTAATTCTTCATTTCCACTTGCGCGTGTTCACTTTTGCTGAAAATAGTAGCCACGCAGAAGCTTCCCTTACTAATGTCATGCGCGTGTTCACTATTGCTGGAAATATTGAACACGTGATGAATCCACATTTTATAATGTTTTTACTTGTCTTTTTGTTTTTCTTAATAGAAAAATTAGACTTATACAGTGTAAATAGTACAAAAATTACATTTTGAGTAAAAATCATAGGTTTATTAATTTTTAGTTAATTTGCATTTAATTATATAGATATAGATTGCAATTTTAATTTTCTTAATAATTTTGCAGAGTCCCCAAGTTAATTTTTGAGAAATCTTGGCCCTTGGATGAAGGTTGGCTTCAAAGTAGCCACTTTAAGGAGCAAAAGTGGCAACTACAGCAAGTTTGGAAATTGAAGGACCCAAAGTAGCCACTATTGCCTCTCATAGTGACCACTCAGGGAGTTCCAGGACGCCGTTTGGGAAGCATTTCTGCGCGTGGACACTATTGGCTCTCATAGTGGCCACGCGCACCAGAGTAGCCACTTTCAGCACAAAAAGTGGCAACTCCAGAGAAGTGGTAAACCTTTCATCCTGTGCGTGGACACTCTTTTGGCTCAAAGTTGACACTTTCAAAGCAAAAAGTGGATACTTTATTTTATGGTGTAGTGATTACGCAGAAACTCTTCTTCATTTTATGGTTCTGGAGTGATCACTTTCACCAGCGAAAGTGATCACTCAGAGGCTGTTCTTCAATTATCAACTTCTTTCCTCCAATTTTTGCTACTTTTCTTCTATTTTTCCTTTGATCATCCAATCCTCATGAACTTAGCTCAGAATTCCCTACAAAAACATACTTGAATTGTCACTTTTACATAGAAAATCAATGAATTTTAAAATAACTATGTTTAAAAGTGACATGCAACATTTTATTATTTTTTAAAGGATTTTCTACTATTTCTAGCATGTTTTCTTTATTAATTGCACTAAAAACTATTGTAAAATACTAGTAAAATATGGATTCATCACTCAACTTTGATTCCAAAATTTTATAACTTGCTACAACTATACTAGTATACTTGCTAGTTAAATTTACTTTTAGTGCAAATTCTGAGAAAGTAACAAGAATCTAGGAGGTATTCTATCTTGTCTCATCGGACCACTTCCCTTGGTGTCCATAGTCTTGCCCTTGGAGTTGGCTTTAAAAATTCTGCACTTACTCACAAGGGTGGGCAAGTCGGTCAGCTAAAACACGCTGGCAGCAACACAAATCTCTAGCTTCAGATCATGCTCAAACTAAGCACATAAGTCTTCCTCTTCATCTTCATGCTGATAGTGAGGCCAATATTTCATCAGCTCTTGAAAATTTGTTGCGTATTCTCTCACTGTTATATTCCCTTGCTTTAAATCAAGGAACTTTCGAGCTTTCTGCTTCTTTAGATCCCGGAGAAAGTAGTTTTCTAGGAAACTCACCTTGAATGCTTCCCACTGAATATAAACACCTTCTCGTGGCAAAGTCTGACTGGCAAAGCTCCACCAGTCTTCTACCTTTCCACATAGCATGTATGTGGCATAAGTTACTGATGAACGAAAGATTTGTTGCAAATCCTCATCAAAATTTAAACAGAAATTAATGTAATACTAGGGTGCTAACCTAAGTCGTCTCCCATGAATCATTGAATAAGTGACCAAATATCAAACATGTAGTGTGCAGTATATTTAGAAAGCAAGTGAAAAGGGGGGTTTTGTGTGATTTCAAGCTCAATATAAAGAGCAAGAAACAAAAATTATAAAGTTCAATCAATAAAATATAGTAACCCCTAATTTATTCATATAGACTCTATCCTTATTCCTCTTAAGATTTAATATTCTTCATCTTCTCCCAGAATTAGGTTCATTTAACAAGAAAAAATCAACCTTATGTTTCCATACGAATTAAGCAATTCAATGGACTCCAATCCCTCATCCCAAGATCACGCAACCTTAGAAATAAACCCAGAATTAAACAATTCAAGTTTAGAATCTCATTACAACGAATTAGGGTTAATTAAGCAATGTCACCTTCATTCAACCATTAATTCAATTCAAGAGTTTGGGAAGAAGAAATTCATGATAGAAAAGGAATTATATTAACATTCAAAACCAAGGAATTCAAGAATCTAAGTGAACTCACTAGGGATTACAATAGGTTTAGCTCTCCATAAGGATAGGTGTCACAATTACAAAGTAAAAGTTAAGAGAAATCAATAACATCAATGTAAAAATCAAAGAGAAGTGATAGCATGCATTATTTGTGCACATTTTCAATCCTTTAGAGTGTGTAAATTACCTTTCATGTTCCCTTATTTCACAAATTATGGCATTTCCTAGTTAATTGGATGATAGGAACTAAATTTCAATTAATGTCTAAATTCTGTTTTCAGACCTGCACTCACTGTTTTGATCGTAACTTTTTCCACAGATGTCCGTTTGGTCTGATTCCAATTGCATTGGATTCCTCATTTTCTGGGCTAAAAACTTCATGTGCAGATCGTCCAAATTGAAGCTGTTTTCTATTTTCTATGAATTTTTGAAGTTAGGAAAATTGTGCAGGAATTTTTGTATTCGAATTTTGTTCTTGTAATTTCATTTCATTTGTATTAACATTTCATTAGCTTGTAATTTGGACTGTTTAATCACACTTGTGGGCCCTTCCTTTTAGTGTTGGATCTGATCATAAGTGGTGCCTATTAATATGTTAGAGGCTCCACTTTGAAAACGATTTTTTTTTTGTTTTTGTTTTGACACACTTTTAAAATTCGGTTTTGGCTCCTAAAATTCTCTCTCTTCTCTTGGTGTGACTTTTCATTTTCTTCTCTCTTCTTCTCTCTTCTTGACTTGGCTGAGCATTGGATTCAATGGAAGGCTAGGCTTCTTGGATTGATACACAAGGAATAGGGAATTGCAAGGAAGATTCAGAGTGGCTCCAAGTTTGAATTCTTTTTTCTCCTCTTCTCTTTCGTTTTTCAAGATATTGATAACGTTTGGGGATAGGAATTGAATTGAATTGCGATTGTAGTTTTATTTCATGAAATTGAATTAGATTGATAGATCTATTAGTCAAATTCGTAATCTAGTTTGTTAACAAATTCGATTGAATTAGTTAATGGATTAGATGTTCAAATTAGGGAAACAATGAAGGATGTTGTTTGCATGAACCTATGACTTGTGGATCAATTAATTCTCATTAGATTTCTTTTTTATTCCAGAATTTTATGCGTTTGACCAGATTATTCTTAAACTCTCAAAATTCCCCAATCTTTTGTTTCATTTTAACAATTCGGCAAAGAAGAATTAGATACAAACGTGTCCTCGAGAATTCGACCTTGGTAGACATTATTCTACAAATAATTGCGAAAACCTTGTGCATTTGATAAGTGTTCGACAAAGCTATATCAAATTTGGCGTCGTTGCCGGGGACACGTTGTAGCTTTTGATTCATTTTCGAGTTGTTAGTTGTGTAGCATTTCCGTTCTGTGTGTTGTATCAATTTTGATAGTTTCTGTGTTCAAGTGTTCTTCATTCTGTGAGAATTATATTCTGTACTTGTAATGCATTGATTTGCATTTGCATTTGATTTGGTTAATTCATGTTTTTGAGTGTGTGATTAAATCCAATAGCATTTTGTGTATGTTGTATTGTATGCATGCTGAAAACAGAAATCAGAAAAAAAAAAAAATAGAGGAGTAGTAGGAATTGTTGCTGTTTTGTTGTTCAATTGTGTTGTGTTTGATTGCATGTTCCATTATTCCATTATTATTCCATTGAGTTCAATTCGATTTGCATTTATTTGAGTGAGTGATTAGTTGCATTTTGGTTCAGTACTGTGTGCTGCCTGCAAAAACAGAGGACTAGTAGAAACTAAAAAAAACAGAGGAGAAGTAGAAATCGTGTTTGCCTTGCTGAATTGCACTATTCATTTACTATTCATCCACTATTCACTGATTTTGAAAAATTCCAAAAAAATAGTAAATGGTCGAATTTTGAGCTGAATTCTTGTGTCCACATTACATTTAGTGTATATTAGTGTGTAGAGTTGGTAGATTTGAAAAAGCTTTTGTACACAAGGAGATACATCTTGGTGGTGAAGAAAAATTTTGTGCAACTTAAAAGTGTCATAACTTTTGCTAGGAGTGTCAGAATTTTGTCCACCACACATGACTTTGGGGTAGAACAAAATTTCCCATTCACTGCAACCGCTCTGTCAGTTGAGGTTTCCCCGATTTTCAAAAATCGCCCGTTTTCTAAAAGTTTTTTATTTTTTTAGTGTTTATTGACCTATTTTTCTTGATTTTAGGCATCCAGTTGACCTAGTTGCCGTGCTCAAAAAAATCTGAAATTTTTTGTGGTGTCATCTTACATCAAAAATAGATTTATCATCAAGTTAGATTTCAATTTTCCCACCTCTGCTTGGTACTTTCTTTGTAAAGTAACATTATTCATGCATTGTTGTGCTTGCTGTTTTTGGATGTTTGTGATTTTGTATGACGAGGTCTAGGTCTAAGCATTTGTTTGACATTGATCCTGAGATAGATAGGACATATCATAGACTCCAGAGAGGTCAAAGTAGTGTGCATCATAGTAGTAGTGATAGGAGTCATAGTAGAGAGCATTGTAGACTTGATCTGAGCAATGATTCTTATTTTAGTGATTCTGAATTTGGTACTTCTATTTCTGATACATTGTCCACTCATTCTGATACCATGGCACATAATAATCACGAGAGAACACTTAAGGAGTTAGCTGCACCTGATGTTACCTACCAACCATTAGGCATTCAATATCTTGATATAGATGTTCCTTTTGAGCTTAAGTCTGGACTAATCCACCTTTTGCCTAAGTTTAATGGTAGTGCAGGTGAAGATCCTCACAAACACCTTAAGGAGTTTCATATAGTGTGCTCGACCATGAGGCCGCAGGGAGTTCCTGAAGATCATATCAAGCTGAAGGCTTTTCCTTTCTCACTGGATGGAGCAGCCAAGGATTGGTTGTATTACTTGCAGCCAGGGTCTGTCACATGCTGGATAGACATGAAGAGGATGTTTTTGCAGAAGTTCTTTCCTGCATCCAGAGCTGCAACTATAAGAACGGAGATAAGTGGCATCAGACAGATCTCCCAAGAGAGTTTGTATGAGTACTGGGAGAGGTTCAAGAAGTTGTGTGCCACCTGTCCACACCATCAGATTAGTGACCAATTACTCATTCAATACATTTATGAAGGCCTTGCTCCAATGGAGAGGAGTATGCTTGATGCAGCCAGTGGTGGAGCCTTGATGGATAAGACACCTAGTTCAGCAAGGGCTTTGATTGATAACATGGTAGAGAACTCTCAACAATTTAGCATAAGAGCCATGACACCTATGAGAGAGGTTCACAATGTCCATCAAACCAACCATATGCCAGCAGAGAATAGACTTGAGAGCAGAATAAAAGAGCTTACCACATTTGTGAGGCAGCTAGCTGTTGCCCAACAAGTTGCACCACAAAGGCCGAGAGATTGTCAAATATGTTCTTCCATTGAGCATGCTTCAGATTGTTGTCCTTTGCTTCAAGAGGGAAATCAACAAGCCTCTGTCCAAGGAGTTTTTAGCGGAAGACAAGATCAATATAGAGCTTCCAACTTCCAGCAACAACAAATGAGGCAGCAGCACCCCTACAGGTTTCAGTATCAATCTCATAACCCTGCATTTAATGATCATCCTAACATGAGATATGGTGCTTCTGAACAGCAACAGGGCACTGGACAAGCAAGTGGAGCTTATAGACCACCTCCTATGAGACAACAACAACAAAATTTTGAACCTTCATTGGAGGACCTGGTGAAGCAAATGGCAAAGAACAACCTGCAGTTCCAGCAAAATGTGAATGCTTCCATTCAAGACTTGCAGACTCAGATTGGTCAACTAGCTACCACTGTAAATCAGTTTAAGTCCCAAGGTTCTGGATAACTCCCTTCTCAACTAGAGATTAATCCTAGAAATGTGAGTGCTATTGTGTTAACGAGTGGGAAGGAGCTGTTGGATGGCCAGAAAAATAAGGAGATGCCATGTGATGTTTAGACTGAGATGCAGCAAGAAGACAAAGGAAAACAAGTTGCGGCTGCACCTTCTCAAAGTAATTCTAAAGTTGTGTATAAGCCACCTCTCCCTTTTCCCAATAGAGTGGCTAAGCCCAAACTAATAACAAATCTTGATAAGGAACTTTTGAAACCTTTAGAAGAGTAGAAGTGAACATTCCACTTCTAGATGCCATAAAACAGATTCCAAAATATGCAAAATTCCTCAAGGAGTTGTGCACCAACAAGAGGCGACTCAAGGGAGATGAGAGGATTAACATGGGCAGAAATGTGTCAGCCCTCATTCAACCAAACCTTCCAAAAAAATGCAAGGATCCTGGCACTTTTACAGTCCCATGTACCATAGGGAATTCCACCTTCAGCAATGCTTTACTTGATCTTGGTGCCTCCATCAATGTGATGCCTACATCAATATATAGGTCCTTGAACCTTGGTCCATTGAAGCCAACTGGTGTAGTCATTAAATTGGCAAATAGGAGTACCACACACCCTGCTCGAGTAGTGGAAGATGTCCTTGTAAGAGTGGATAAGTTGATATTTCCTGCAGATTTTTATATTCTGGACATGGCAGAAGAGTCTAGCATTCCCACATTGATCCTTGGTAGACCATTCCTTAAAACAACAAGGACAAAGATTGATGTGCATTCAGGAATTCTGTCCATGGAGTTTGGTGATCATGTTATGCGTTTTAATATTTTTGAGTCCATGAAACATCCTACAGAGTTGCATCGTGTATACCATGTAGAAATCATTGATTTATTAGTTGATGAATATTCTGATGCATTGATTGATGATTATTCTTGTACATGTACTGTTACTTTTACAACTACTGTTGCACTGAAAGTAAACTGACTAGCAAGTGTACTAGTGTTGTTGTAGCAAGTTATAAAAAACCTTAGAATCAAATTGAGTTCCAAGTATCGTCCTCAGGGAATAAAGTTCTCAATTACCACTTCACAAGATCACAATTAGTTGAGCTTTACAAATTTCAGATGGAATTGGTATGAATGTATCAAAAATGAAATTAGAAAGTAAAACAGAACAGTTAGTACAAAAGTATATAGTAAACAGATGTAGAAAGAGTAGTTAGGAAATTGTTTCACCAAAACTTCAACATTGAATCAATAAAGTTCTGAACTTTCAAGCATTTAGATGGAATGACAATCAGTTTCACGTTGTATTAATCAAAGGACAATCCCTTGCCTCAATGAATCTAGCATCTAATCAAATCACTCCAATCCCTTAGATCTAATCCAATCAAATGCTGCATTAAGTTTGAGAAACCAAAAGATTGCAAGATTAAGATATCTTATCCCTAAGAAACCAATAACCTTGGTAACTAATTCAGATCTGAGAAACAAATTCAATTCCCATTGATAAGAGTTCCTCTATGATTAGTTGATCAAATTTCCATTCAATCACTACTTTAACAGCAGAATCAATCACTCAATCCAATCCAAAACTCAAAGTTCAGATCCAAAATCAATTCAACATTTCAATTTCAGATTCACAATTCCTAACCACAAAGAGTTTAGGCAAACATTACAAAAAGAGAAGAGAAGAGAAAAGGAGAAGAGAATGAACAAAGAAGAAACATCTTCAAGCCAATCTCCAATCTGATCCCTCAAGAAATGAAGCTTGGTGTTCGTCCTCAATCTCCCTCTCTGACTCTCTCAACAACAAAAACAAATGGAAAATGAAAAATGAACAAAAAACTGCAAAATTCTTGATCTAACTGCCTTTTATAGAATTCCCGCTCTGCTGGCGTGATCACTTTTTCCAGCAATAGTAATCATGTAGAGGCTAATTCTTCATTTCCACTTGCACGTGTTCACTTTTGCTGGTGATAGTAGCCACGCGCACTTCAAAGTGTTCACTTTTGTTGAAAATAGTAGGCACGCAGAAGCTTCCTTTGCTAATGTCATGCGCGTGTTCACTTCTGCTGGAAATAGTGAACACGCAGAAGCTGCTTTCTTGCGCGTGTTCACTTCTGCTGGAAATATTGAACACGCAGAAGCTGCTTTCTTGCGCGTGTTCACTTTTGCTGGTAATAGTGAACACGCGCAACTACTCTTCTTGGAGGACTCTCTGGAACGATCACTTTTGCCAGCAAAAGTGATTACGCAGAAGCTCTTCTCCATTTTATGGTTCTGGAGTGATCACTTTCATCAGCGAAAGTGATCACTCAGAGGCTGTTCTTCAATTATCAACTTCTTTCCTCCAATTTTTTCTACTTTTCTTCTATTTTTCCTTTGATCATCCAATCCTCATGAACTTAGCTCAGAATTCCCTACAAAGGCATACTTGAAATGTCACTTTTTACATAGAAAATCAATGAATTTTAAAATAACTATGTTTAAAAGTGACATACAACATTTTATTAATTTTTTAAGGGTTTTCTACTATTTCTAGCATGTTTTCTTTATTAATTGCACTAAAAACTATTGTAAAATACTAGTAAAATATAGATTCGTCACTACCCCAAACTTGAATTTTTACTTGTCCTCAAGCAAATTAGAACATATCAAGTGTGTAAATTCTTATTAATTGGAATCCAATAACTTTTTACATTTTTCAGAAAAATTCAGATTAAGAATCTATTTTACTTCAATGCATTCTAATTGTTTTCTCACTAAGTCATTCACCAATTCTTCATCATGATAGTCACACTTGACTTATCTGTTTGCTACACAATCTCATTCATTTCAATCAAGCAAATCATTAAAGCTACATGCAAACAGAGTTGAGAAACATTATCACAGCTCTTAGAAAGTGTTTCTCTAACTCAATCAGTGTTTAAGCTTGTGTTTGCTCTCATCATCACCAAATTCATCAAACTCTGCCATAAGCTTGACTATATTCTCTACCTCCTTTGCAAATTTACAATTAATCACATATCAAGAGGACTTTTTAGGTAATATTAAGGCTCAAGGACAGGTATGATTTCAATGAATTCAGGATATAATTGCAGCTAATTTCAAACAGAAAAAGATGCAAATTGAGTATATAAGCTTTTAAACTTAGTAAGGGCTGCATCAATTGTTTCTATTCTTAATCAAATTTCAATCACAGTTTAAATTTTTGCAGAATTATCTACCAATTTCCTTTTCCTTTTTGATTTGCTGATTTCTTTTTATTTCTTTTTCATTTTTCTATTTTTACTTGCAGCTTGTTACTTCTTTTTCATATTTTCTCTGCATGACTTTTTCTAACTTTCTTAATTCATTTCAATCCTTTCTACCCCAAACTTAGAACATTGCTTGTCCTCAAGTAATGCACTAGAAACATGATGTTACCCCAAACTTAGTTTTAAAACTTATCTTTGATTCAACTCAATTTGCCTCTTTTCTATTTGAATAGGTAAAATGGTTTTTCTAGAAAAGCTTGTATTGAGGTTAATCAAAGAAAGGCTATCAGCTTAAAGGGGCTAACTAGGACATTCAAGAATGAAAGGCAGTCTATTTGGCTCACTAGGTAAATCTGAATAATGGCCTCCATCCTTTATGTGATTAGTGCAAAACAGCATATTCAGTTAAGAAACAAAGCAAGTTCTAGAGAGTGAATCAGAATTTGAGATCAGTCACACATCAATGAATGAAAAGGTTCAAGTCTCACCAAGGAAGTAAATGGATAATATTTATCAATTCGGTTCACTATTTACTTCAAGAATTTGCATGAATAAAATGGCAAGACTGCTTTATTTTTTAAAAATACAAGTATGACAATCATGTTAAGAATGAGAAAAACAACTTATGTAATTCAACAATCAGAATTTCAACAGGTGAAAATCAGGTTTATTTATCAAGAAAACAAAATCTAATGCAGTTTAATATTTTTCTAACTTGTGAAAATTTTATACAAAATGTAAGCTGTACACATGAAAATAGAGGTACAGAATTAAACCCCCCTTTCATGGTAGCTGTGCATATTTCAATCATTCCATACGCTCCTTATTCAGAGTTTGAGAGCATGGTTTGCACAAAAACATCACAAGTTGTTCATTAATTTTCAGATAAAAAACTCAATAAAATTCAAAGCTAGTAGATATTTAAAACAGAATTGTTCATAACCAAAATAAAACTAAAATGTAATTACAACACTCAAAAGTCTGAAATTCTTATTACAATCTTTTTACAAAAATTAAACTAATGACAGAAATTTAAATTCCTAATCTACTCTTCATCTTCATCCTCATCCTCATCTTCCAAATCATCCTCTTCTTCATCATCTTCTTCCTCTTCTGCAGTAGCTGCTGGTGGAGGGAAATGAGTTCTGTAGATGGGGAGGTCTTTGAAGACAGTTGAGCTCAGGCATTGGGCATTCTCTGCTTGACCAATCTTTTCTTGAGTTACTGACTACTTTCTCTAATATCTTCTTGATTTCTCTGTTTGAAATTTCCACTTGTTTGATAAGGAGTTGCTACTCTGTGTTTTACTCCATACTTATCCAGAACATTATCAAGGTATTTATTGCATAAGTGTGATCCTCCATCACTAATCAGAATTCTTGGCACTCCAAATCTTGAAAAAATGTTTTTCTTTATAAAGGAAATCACCACTTTGGCTTCGTTTGTTTTGGTTGGTATAGCTTCCACCCATTTAGACACATAATCCACTGCCACAAGTATGTATTCATGAGAAAAAGAAGTTGGAAAGGGTCCCATAAAGTCTATTCCCCATACATCAAACAGTTCCACCTCCAAGATATTGTTCAAAGGCATCTCATGTCTTCTAGAAATGTTACCAACTCTTTGGCATTTATCACAGTTTTCTACATAAATCTTTGCATCTCTGAACAATGTAGGCCAGAAAAATCCAGCTTGTAATACTTTGGCAGTTGTTCTTGATCCATCATGATGGCCTCCATAATCTG